AAAGAGAGAAGAAAGTGATGCTGTGTGATGAACAAAGCACGCAGTTCAACTGCGAATGCACACGGTTTCAGACAATCCGGTCTGATAAGAACGTCGCTGATGTTGGTTTGTTGTCATAAACCTCACTGTTTGCAACCAAACAGTTAAATAGAACTTTGGACATCAGCCTGAAAGACGCGAGGCATCTACCCCACCTAACCACTTTGTGAATTTCTTCATGCATCTGCTTCAACAGGGCGCATCAACAGCGTATAAGGCCCAGTGCGGTAGACGACTTTCAGGCATACCCAATACGTAATCTAACCAGTGACGGCTACTAATCTGAATTCGATGTGATGATGAATTTACCATCGTACTATTTTCAACCACACGGCGACTTACCTCATCGCAAACAACACGCTCACGCCATTTTACCCGCGCCAAACAATACAAGAATCGGTTATCGAAAACCTCTAGTCGATGGATGTCATCTGCTCACGAACTCAAGGTCTCACAACCGAAAAGCAGAAGTCGTACAATATACACTACCTCTCAAATTCAGTAAAATGTCACGTCTACACCAAAAGTGTTATAGCGCACAGTAAACTGCTACAGCCTTAGAGATGCCGGCGGTTATCTCCTTTATTGTGCAACCGTCATTAGTCACCCAACAGACTAGGAAGGAAAAGCCATAAACCAGAGCCAATTAATGCACATTTAGTTTCAAAGTAGGACCAGCCTGTGCCCAATCTTGTGTCATTACTGAACTTTGAAGGTGTAAAGCGAACACTGCACGGAGTAAAATGGCTTCTTACTGTCTAGCATACTTGGTGAATCCTCTATACATTCGAAACACAGAAAATCTCCTCCGCGTACACCAAATCGATCAGCTTTCCTCCAGCTGCCCATTTAATGCCAACATCTCTGAGGCCACTTCGGGAGGTGTCTCGCACTTCGGCTAGGACAAAATCAAACAGAAATGGTGACATGGGACATTCTTCACAACGATGATGATGTTGACTTGACGAAAACCGCTGTTGGTGACGAACGAGCAGTCTTCGACTCAGTTGATCGCACCAAATTCTGGCGCTGACACTCCTTGAAGGGTGTGCAACGAATACCAATACCAATAGCCGCAGCCGAGTTCGAGCTTACCGCACGAAACGCGGAGTTGGCTTGTCCTCAGTCTCTATCTTCTTTTCCGATCAACTTTGCAATGGATTCCATTCTGGAAATAGTGCCGTCCTTACAGCAGAATCGAGATATCGCTGTAACCAGCAGCAGGCTGTTTTATTGAGAGCACGCAGTTTTATGCGGCGATTTTAAGTGCCGTCTTTTGCTGACTATTTGGATGGAGTAATGGGGGGGAGATCAAAACGTTCAAATCCGTATCAAGATGAAAATAGAGAGAATTCCTGAAGACTCAGGTTATAAAAAAATTGAGATGCACGCGCGCCATATCATCGTGTATCTAACCATCGATTACGCTGATCCTGTTGTCCCCATGCAGGAGGCCTAAAACGATTCGTGTGAACGAGCCTCCTAGTCTGTTTTCATATCACCATGTGGTCTTAGTTTGACCACTCTGTACTTTTTTTACTTATCTTCTACCTTGACAAACAGTGGGCATCGAGGCAATCTATTTAGTAGTATGCACAACAGGTCCCAACTAACGTAGCCCATGGAGGTCGATCACTTGCTCCAGTGAATGACCGCATACGGTATTGTACGGCATTGTGCAAATCCAGGTTGTAAGCTTCTCTGGATGGTTTGAACCTAGTCATATTTGGTATGCATTTTGCACCTTCAAACTGTGAAACCTTGCTACAGGACGGTTTTTACACCAGAGTAGACAGTCCAACTCTGTAGACATTATTCAAAGCATTCTGGTCTGATAAGAAGTGACAGCATGATCGCCATTGCTGTCGGTTCGCAACCATGACCTACCGTGCCTTCAATCATGCGGTTATGGAGTCTTTTGGACCCCAATCCGGAAGACGAAAGACACTTACTTTACCTAATCGCTCCGTGCATTTCTGCATGCCTCGTCTCCACGTCATCTGCTGTCCTCCACGTGGCTTTCTCCAGTCTGCAACAGCCACTGCGGACAAGGATCGCTGCGGTAGGCGACTGTCAGACATACGCAAGACGTGTCCTAACCAACGAAGCTTATTGAGCTCAATTCGATGCGCTAGCGAGTTCGTGTTCAATGCATTCCCAACTACCCGACGACTTACGTCTAGGTTACTAACCCGTTCACTCCATCCCACTTAGGCCAGACTACGTAAGCATCAGTTGTCAAAAACCACTTGGCGACGGATGTCTTCCACCCGCAAATTCAAGGTCTCACAATCGTAAAGCAGAACCGATCGTACAGTGGCACAGTATACGCGACTTCTCAACTTCAATGAAACATCACGTTGTCGCCACCGGTGTTTGTCCTGTGCACGCTGCTCGAGCCTTAGAAATGCAGGCGGTTATCTCCTTTGATGCTCTACCGTTGTTGGTCACATAGCTACTCAAGTACCCAAAGCAGTCACCTTCAGCTAATTCCCGACTGTCTAGTTTCATAGCAGAACTCGGCAACACCCAGTCTTGTAGCATCATTTTGCACCTCGAAGGTGCACAGAACATACCGAACGGAGTGACAGAACTTGCTAATCTGTCAAGTGCTCTAAACCGCACAGCTTTTCTCCAGCTGCCCATTCAATACCTACATTTTGGAGACCACAGTGCGTTCTCTAGCATTTCGTCTATGATGAAATTTAAATCATCAGCAGTGCGAATCCATCGACTCAACTGGGGATGGANCATACTACCTACTCGGTCGACCAACCAGGTCGAGGCAGCTGTCCAGTGTTTTCCCAGCTTTTCAGCTCACGCCTCTTTTTACACGACGAATTCATCATATAAAAAATTATATCCCCATTAATCCCATCATTTATTTTTATTTATTTATTTTCACACACCTCAGACTGTGCCAAACGAAGCAAGACAGACGCACTACTGATAAAGTGCTCGACTTGCATGGACTACGTTGGTTGGGGTTTGTGACATGCATGGTAATAAATAAATTGCCACGGCGTGCGACATTTGCCTAAGCAGTTAGTGGGTGCAAAAGTCAATCGCTCCAAACTAAGAACTGGTTATAAAGAGCTTGGCTGGGAAACTTGGACACGTAGGTCATCTTAGGCTTCCTGGATGGAGACANAGACATCAGGATCAGCGTAATTGACGGTTGGAGACGCTGAATGATATAGCTTGGTGTCCTAAACAGCGCCGCTCGTGCATCTCAATTCTTTGCAACCTCAGTTTTGATGAACTCTCTATTTTCATCCTGGCACGGCTTTCAACATTTAACTCTTTCCTCCACTCCTTCATCCAAATGGGCAGAAAAAGAGCAATTAAAACCGCGGTATGAAATTACATGGTTTAATGGTTGGTCAAACTCCGACTGGACCTTCTTACTTTCCGAACGCTTAATGAACCTTGGAGCTTTATAATGCATAAACGATTATTGGCGGATATGCAATCTGTCATTGAGGGCTCAGATGTATTGCTCAGTACAATACCTAACCCGCGCTGACCTAGTGAACGGGATTTGTCGACGCCTGATGTGCTAAAGAAGTATCTCAAGGCGCACTTAAATGGCTTACATTACTAGAATCCTGAATGCGCGTACCGGATACGTAGTAGACATCAAATGATTAGATGCGCACTGTACACAACAGACAAGCCTGTTGATTCATCTATGAGATCCCTCATGCTGGAGTAAGGGAGGAAGGGGTTGAAGAGACTTCGGAATCTGAAATGGTAGTAAACTACTTATGGGCACTGTGTAACGAGCTTTAATAAGGGAGAAAAAGTTATCTGAGGGGACATTACGGGTCGGAAGAAGAGGAGTTGGGGGCAGACAATAAGAAATATGAGGATGCTGAACAGTAGCGCATTTATCAATAAGCACCCCGCTTGGTGCAATCGGCAACGTAGCCCATCCTGCGCGAAGATCAACGCAGCATATAACTCATTTAATTTGTGGTAAATTTTTAGTGCAAATACTTGTGTGATGAACAGCATATGAAGTGTACCTCATGGTTACGAAAACCTGTTGTTCAGTGATGGAAATCGATAACCGAAGCCCCGAGACTTGGAGTGGTGAATTGCATAAGGCACCGCTTTGTTAGGCATGGTATTGAACCGGACGGAAGCAAAATTGCCTACCACCAAAGTTGGGCAACGGTGACGGGGCTCGAACATCACGTCATACGGTCCTTTTGGAGCCTCTAGTGACAGCATCAAACCGCTCCACACATATACCTTTCACATTTTGTTGTTTTACCGGATTAGGATCACCTAATTGATCATGGCAAGTTGACTTTCACTTTCTGCACGCTTGCTTATCTGTACGCTTCTCTCTGTGCTCTACAGATCATTCCAAAAAGACGTTTGTCGAGGTTTCGTCATTTCAGCCATTCTCTCTTTGGTTTGTTCTTTTGTCCGCTTTTGGACGTACATATTTGTGGACATTATTAGCCCAGACACTAAAAGCCTTATGGACGGTTACTGCTATGAATTCCAACTACAAAGCAAAACGAATGGCTCAATCATACGCCTAAATTAAGGCAATATGGAAGCCTGTCCGCTTCGACCGATTGATTTCCCACCAGCTTTACCGACCGAGACGCCAACTCCAGTCAAACACCCAACTTCGAGTACGGGGAGACTGGAATTAACCCTAACAGTTCGACCCTCCTATATAGCTAGCTGGATTATGGAGGTGTACAAGCCATCAAATCACGCCACGATTTAGCTGCTTGGTAATGAACCCCTTGCACCACTTTTAAAAATCTGCTATTTTATTAAGAATTTGATTCCGTCTAAAAGAATGAACAATCTTTAAAATAACAGATGTTGGTCTTCCGCTAGCGTCCACGGGAAAAGTTAGTATCACAGAAGCAACAAAACATGAAAAGAGAAATACAGAAAAAATCATAAATTTATATTTTCTTGAGCATCTCAGACTAGGAAATCTTCGCAAATAAGGATGATGAGTTGATAAAAAATATGAAACCAAATGCGCTTGACAGGAAGTTTAAAAGAAAAGCAACAATCAGGGAACATTCGGTAAGTGCTCTCGTGGACTGCATGCCTGCAAGAAGTGCCAATGAGCTAAATACAACGGGGTAAAAAGGAACAAAATGCAGCTCTTCCATCGTAAGTCCAGAGTTCCAGCTGGATGCCCAAGGAAGGACAAAAAATGTCAGCAACTTACTCATGTTTACAATCGCTAGAAGTCGAAGAAACCGCTGAATGGGCACAGAGAAGCACAAAATGAAAAACATACAAAACATCGAGAGTGAATATATAAAACACCAAAAAATATTGGATAAAACATGAATGTACAAGTCCGACTTGAACGTAAGTGAGAGATTCGCCAAATCTACACCAGTGATTCCTTGTTCGCTCAACCAAGAAACAAAAGAGTTAAGAAGAAGACTCAACAACAAAATTCTGGTCCAAGAAATCTCACGAGAATTATAGATTATGTGCCGATAAGCTTCGATTCTCAGCGCTATAAGGTCGATAGCCACGATAAACACATCGTACTCCGCATATTTGTCTACAACATTAGTGCATTTCGGGCATCTTTCCATTCTTATCACTTCATCAGTGTACTGAGTGTAAATGACTGGGACACGACACCCACAGAAAATACACCTAAAGCTCTCCATCACATCTCGCATGTGCACAGGACAATAGCTCTTCCACACTTCAATCCCATTGGTTAAGGGTAAACTGCGTTACGGTTTCCACCGGGATTCCAAAAATGATTATACTTCATGCAGACGATAAGTAACATAATGTGATTTTTTAATACCTTATACGTACTTGCGAATCAATGTACAATAACGTAGTCATAAGGACTGAGAAACTCTATGATTTTCCAGTTCGATTATGAACGGAATTGTAACTAGGTAGGCGGCGCGCTTTTTAATATAACCAATCATACGAGAGCACGAATGCAGTACCCAAGGTATCGGTACAACATTTCAAGGTCGGGTCAGTTCAGTTCGAGGTGCACATAAATGATTACGACTACAGATAATAAATCCTCCATAATTCCTTCAGCTTTATGCTCAAGGAACGGACGCTCACAAAATCAATATCAGGTTCAGTGTCTTATGGACGAAGTCAGGTCAGGTAAGGTCACAGGACTAGCGGCTGATGAAAAACGAGCATCAAGTACTTTACGCAACCCAATTCCAATGCTCTCGGTGCAATTCGAGAATTCTCGCCACATCAAGTGGTATTTTTTTAGTATGAAATAGAATGTTTATCTGCAAAGGACTGGTATGAACATGTTATACGAAAAAAGACAGACTCCAGTCACCTTAGCCAAAACTTGATTGCCCTCGCCCATGATTACGTGTCACCTTCTTCATACCACCCGGTGTGCTTGAACCTATAGCCACATATAGGTTCAATCATACACGAACACACCTCCATACCTTCCTTACATGTATGCAGTCTTGTGCATATATTATTGTATACTGGTAAACATCATTCGTACTTGATCATTATTCGTCATAGAGTAAAAGAAAAGATGCAGGAACAAGAGTCAGTCTCGGAACCGGACACCCTTCGGTCAAGAAAGATTCGGCTTACTCGGCAACACTTTAGCTAGGAGGGGAAAACGTTACCCCGTTGTATTGCGCCCAGGGTTCCGATGATATTTTAACCATCGAATGTAGTGTAAAAACACATATTCATTTTTTGGGGCAACATAGCGGATGCCTTGCTCTTCATCCATATGAACCATTTATTTTTGGTTCTTCCCCTGTTTGCAGGGCTGGTTTTCGACCTAGCACCTTCATTTTCTCCTATTACCCGTATGATTTTGGGTGCGTCTTACTGTATCAACCCAAGGAGTCGTCGCCGTCTATCTCTTTCGGTTGGGGGTTTGATGATTTCCTCCTGATCGTCCTGTATAAATTGGTCAATAAAGATGCAGGGTTTCTTGATGAATCTAGAAGGAAGAGAGGAAAGTCGATAGTTACAGAGAACAAGTGAGAATGGTGCAAATGTGTAAACAACCTCTTTTATCCTTCCTGAAACCATACTTCCAGTTATCTAGTCCACCAGCACTCAAGTACTGACCCTGACCAGGTGTCTACCTGAGCCCGTTGACCGCCTACTCTGTATAATAATTATTATGTGGTTGCCGCACAACTGAGCAGTCTACTGTCTATCCACCAGGGACATTCAGGTCTTTTCCAGTACACACAAGTATATACACACGGACATGTATGCATGCCTACATCATTTGTCCTTTTTGGTGCCTTTTATACAGCTTCCGGAAACAGTTTCGTCCACATTGCATCTAGACGATCCTCAACTGAGGCTGCTGAAACAACCGAGGCTGGCAGCTTGTTCCAAGGGTTTGTAAACCTATGAGCTAAGAAATTTGCCCGGATGCTCCTTAGTGCTCTCGGTTCTCCAAGCTTCATTCCGTTTCCTCGCAGTGCGAGGTTATTATTCCTGGATAGACCCTTCAGTTGCTTGAAAACGTCTATGAGGCCCCCGCTTAATCTTCTTTTGACCAAAGAGAAGAGGTTAAGTTCTCTTAGCCTGCCGTGATGGTCCAACCCTTCCATCCCCCGGATTCGCTCCGTGAACTTCCTTTGTGCATTCTCCAGTATCAGCGAGTCCTTCGCTAGTGATGGCGTCCAGGCTTGCCCACAGTACTCTAAGTGCGGCATCACACACACTTTACAGAGCGGGAAAAGGACTTATCTGTCTCTTGAGGCCACAGTTCTCAGTAAGTGATGTAGTGCTCTCTTTGCCTTTGTCGCCGCTAGAAGGCGCTGCTTGGCTGGTTTGCAGGTCTCGTGTATGAACACTCCCAGATCCATCATCTGCCCTGTTTGGTTTATTTCCTGAAGGGTTATCCAGGTTCGGTAGCCTGTTAGTTGATGATGGCCCGCCTCCCTGGAATAGAAGCTTTCTGGTGTTCAGTGGAAGCTCCTATTCCATTGCCCACTTTTGCAGACGATCTGGGTCTTGTTGCGTTTGCGTTAAAGTGGGGTCCCTAACAAGCCCAACATCATCCGCAAACACAAAACAAGGCCAAACCAGTTCTTGGGGCAGCTCCTTGACATAGATGATGAACCGTAGCGGGCCTTTTACCGATCACTGGGGGGGGGGCACTGCACGCTACCGCTCTACCCGACCTTTCCCTCTCTGCCTTAGAATGGAAGATTCAAATGGTGATCCAGGCCTACACGATGGCGTCTACAATGGAGCGGAGCGTTACAGTTTCAGAATAGTTCCGATCAATCAAGTTTGAATGCTGTCGTCAATGACACGTGTATGGCTTCTGAATACACTTCATTGGTGGATGGTGCCAGCCAATCCAAGACAGTGCAGACAGAAACAAGATAGTGCAAGCAGTACTGTAATCCCATTGGTGAAAGCCCAGATAGATATTAATCCCCCTTTGTACATATTATTTAATCACCTTTATTTCTTCCGATAAACGAACTACTTACTGCCCGTCCTCTGGCCTTTTACTCGAGCCTCGTTCTCCTGGAACATTGCGAATCCGTGCCACTGTGGTCCAGTGATTCTGAGATCCAGTCCGTGATGGCTGATTAATGATTCGAGTCCTGTGATTCATATTGCGTCGTTGGTGTTCCGAATTCCGTGCGTATTACTACGATTACTACAATCATTACAAATTGGCTTCGCGTGATGGAGCTCCCAACGATTGAGCAACTGAACCTGCAAACAAGTCCATCCGAGATCGAGGAATGGGTCGAACGATTCGAGCTGTGGTGCAGCATTCGCAAAGGTGGTATACAGAACCAGTCAGCAATATTTCTTAATGTTGGTGGCCGTGACCTCTACTCCCTGTTGAGAAACCCCGAGGCTCCAACCAAACTACCATACGAGTCCCTGAAATCGCTGCTGCTCAACCACCTGCTGCTCACTGAATTCTAAGCACATGAAAGGGCCAAATTCAACTCAATGATTTGTGCTGATCCTGTTTCCCGCCGTGAATTCATTCAGCATCTGAACAAACAAGCATCACACTGCAACTATGGTGATCGCCTGGAAGAATAAATGTGTGACCGCTTGGTGGCAGGCATCAATAAGCTGACTCTTCAACGGAAATTTCTGGAGAAGAAATATTTAACTTTTTCCGACGCCCGCAAGATCTGTGGGCAACACGACGACCTGATGAAAGCCACTTCCAGCGAATCAGTCACATTATTCCAACGGCAGAAGACACGACCAAATCGACCTCCATTGCCCAAGTGTATACCGAAGCTGCAGCACGACTCTCCAGGCAACGAGAAACGTATCAATCCCTGTTTGTCATGTGGAGCTTACNGCTTACCATCTGCGCCCCAATTGCCGCTTCCGAAATGCCAAGTGTCATGCATGCGGAAAACTTGGCCACATTCGGCGTGTGTGTAAACAACCCCGTTGTAATCTTGCACAATCAACTGCTTCGAATGACACAAAGCTTGTGCCCTCTCTACGATCCGAAAGCCAACGCACTCAATTCCTATACACAGATGTGACATCACAGTCCGGCAAAACTCACAAATTCATGCTTGACACGGGAAGCACGGAATCTATCATTTCTATCAATTCTTAACAAAATGAACTATTCACGAATGGCCGCTATAACAAGAGACTATGACTTCATTTTGGTGACTGAAACTTGGTTACCCGAATCTACTCCTATGAGTGCCATCGCGTTATGTGGC